CCTGCTGGAATTATACTCTAAAAATCCTGAAACACCAATTCAAAAGAACTTAAGCACTCCTATGCTTAAGTTCTTCATAATGTAAATAGTGCTTCATAGCAGCACTATTTACAATAACCAAGTGCTGGAAACAGTCTAAGTGCTCATCAATAAAGAGTGGATAAATAAACTGTGGTACATTTACACAATGGACTACTACACAGTAGAAAGAAAGAATTCATACCTTTTGCAACAGCATGGATAGAACTAGAGAATATTATGCTAAGTGAAATAAGCCAGTCAGTAAAAGACAAATACTATGTGGTCTTACCTATAAGAAGAATCTAATGAACAAAATAAACTAATGAGCAAAATAGAACCAGAGGCATGGAAACGTGGAACAGACTGATGGTGAACAGAGGGAATTTTGGAGAGGCATAATGGTGGAAAGAAGGGGAAGGGACTATCAAAGGACATGTATGAATGACCCATGGACATGGACAACAGTGTGGGGATTGACTTCAGGAGTAAGGGTTGGGTTTGATGGAGGAGAGCAAAGTGTGTGGGGGGAGAAGATTGGGACAACTATAATATAATAGCAATAAAAAAATTTAATTTAAAAAATTTAAAAATACACTTGACTATGGAACATCTATCATTCAGAACCACCTGAAATCTAGCTGAATGCAAGTCATACAACTAAGGATATAAAGAAGCCACATGAGACTGGTAGGAGGGGTAGAGACATTAAAATTGGGAAGAATATCTCAACTGTGGACTTCACCCCTGAAAAGTGAAGGGTCCAGACCCACACCAGGTCCCCTAGCTAACCTAGGATCCCAGTGTTGGGAAGAGAACCTCCCCTACCTTATGGTTGTAAAACCAGAGGAGATTGTGGCTGAGTGAAGTGGAGGGCTTCTGGAGTCCCAGGAAGTTCCTCTCAAAAGGCCTGAAAATAGACTTACTTGAACTTACTCCCTCTAAATTCCAAAGCTAAGGCATCAGTTCAAAAGGCCCAGGGATATACGGGGAGGAACTAAAGTGTCTGACATCACGGTGAGAGCTAGCAGGGCAGCTTTCTCTCAGAAGTCCTGACAGAGGCCACTATTCCTTTTCTGAGCCCTTCTCCCACAGAGCTGGCATTCAGGTGCCATGTCTGAGTCTTCATCTACCTGGCTATCACTCTTCACCCTACCCTGTGATTCTCTGAGACCCCACTCCAACAACTTTCAGGCCCACCCAAGCTGTTTCCAGTAGTTTTTCTATACAAATAACCAGCCTTGGCTCATGCTTCAGACTTCCCTAAAATCTCTCAGACAAACAACATTTGACATTGGCATGCCCCATATCTCTTGCTAAGTGGCCCTAGTCCCAGAGAAGAGAGCAAGAACATGAAAACCATTTTTAAAATGACAGAAAACTTTCTTAACCTAGTAAAGGAAATAGACATATGAGTCCAGGAAGCACAGAGAAACTTAAACAAGATGAACCCAAAGAGGCCCACACCGAGACACATCATAAGTAAAATGCAAAAGGTTAAAGACAAAGAGAATCTTAAAAACAACAAGAGAAAAGCAGTTACTTACCTTAAGGGAGCTCCCATAAGACTGTCACCTGATTTCTCAACAGAAACTTTTCAGGCCAGAAGGGATTGGCAAGAAATACTCAAAGAGATGAAAATAAAGGACTTACAACCAAGATTACTCGGCAAAGCTCTCATATAGAATTGAAGGACACCTAAACAGTTTCCCAGATATGAAAAAGCTAAATGAGTTCAGCACCACCAAACTAGTACTACATGAAATGTTAAAGCATCTTCAAGAAAAAGAAGAAAAGAAAAAAAAGATAGTTCATTTTAAAAAATGAACAATAAAGTGGCAATAAACACATCTATCAACAAGTGAATTTTTAAGAACAAAATAAACAAAAGAAGCAGAATGGGAAAACAAACTCATTCAGAGAACATTATTTTCTACCTTGTCTTCCAAATCGTTGATTCAGTTCTCTGCTTCATCATGACTGCTCTAAATTCCAACTAGTGTAGTTTTCACTTTAGATATTACATTCTTACTTCCCACTGGTTTTTATTCATACTATCTATGTCCTTTGTCATGCTAATACAGTTTCCAATAAGTTCCTTGAGCATTCTTATAATCATTTATTTGAACTCTATGTCTGATAAATTGCTTCCATCAATTTTTTTCTGGGTATTCTTTTTGTTGTTGTTGTTGGGGGATTATTTCTTTGCCTCCCCATTTTAACTGTATTACACTTTGACTCTCTGTTTTTGTGTGGTGGCCTAGTGTGACAACAGTCCTATGGGACCCAGTTGATGCAGTCAGCTTGATCTCCTGAGCTGGATGCTCTAGAAATCTCCCTTGTGTGGGTTATGTGGGCTCTCCTATTGTATTTGGGTCTTGATTATTGTTGGCCATTTTGTTGATGGGATCTCCCCTCCAGCTGGCTGACTGAGAGGCTCAATCCCAATGACAGCTTGTACACTGTTCTACAGGTGTTGACAGAACAAAACAAAACAACACACACACAAAAAACAAGCAATCCCCCCAACATCAGCAAAATCGATGACAAAAGAGCAAAGAATAAGAAAAGAGAAATAGAATAGTAAAATTTTTAAAAGAACACAAGAATACCAAAGAAAAATAATTATGAGAGAAGAGAAGGAAGAGAAACAATAAAAGTAAGAAATGGAAAGAGGAAAATGGCAAAAAAAAAACCATTGTAAGAGAAAGAATAAAAGTAAGAAAAAGAAAGGAGGAAAAATAGAATAAGAAAAAATAGTAAGATATGAAAGAAAAGTGGAGAAGAAAACTTAGGAAAAAATAAAAATATTAAAAGGCTACAAAAAAGAAAAATAATGAAAAACAACAAAGTGGAATTTGTCTCATCAGAGTTTAGTGCCTGCCTGCTGGGTTCTCCCTTTGGATACAGCTCTGATGTTGCCTGAATCTGGTGTAAGCCAATGTCAGATGTTGAGCCTGTCTAGCCTGTGGCAGCCTGTTTGAAGCTACAGGTGATCCACAGTCTGTGGCTGTCTCCTCCAGACTTGACTGTACATGGAATGGGCCTAGCTATGCTTCTAGGTCTGCTTTTACCAGCACAGGAGCCCAGGGGATAGGTCAGCAAATGTCTCAAGGATCCACCTTGTAACACTAACATTCTGCCTGTCAGTGTTAGTCACTGACCCAACTGTTTCTGAGAGGGTTTCTGGTAGAATTGACAGGACACCTCAATCTCTCATGGGGGAGGAAGTGCTGTTCAGACCTCAGGGAAGATGGCAGGTGTCTCCTTCTACCCCTGGAACCACACAACTGAGTCTGACTCCAGAACCCAGAAGAGTATTTCCATGGCTCTCCCATGAGGGGGAAGCACTAGTTCAGTTCCCAGGAAAGTGTATGGAATGGCCATGCCCTAAATCCAGTCTCTGATACTCCATGATTCTGCCTATATTTCTGTCTCTTCATCAGGGGTTACGATGCAGGTTGGAGGAAAAATGAAATTAAAATATGCTGGGTGGGGTGGGCAGGATTCCAAAGGGTAGGAGCAAGCAGTATCCCAGAGAGTGTAGTAATTGTTTTCCCATAATAGGGGCCTGCTCCTCTCAAGAAATGGCTGCTGCAATATTGGGTGATGTCCCAGCACAGGGATCCCAGCAACCACCCCCTCCCACCCTTCCCCAGTGCTCCCTACTCTAGACCCTCCTCAAGCAACTCCAGCCCTCTCTTCACCAGACCCCAAGGTGAATGGCTGCAAATGAAAAACCTGTGCTTTGGACCCTTAAAAAAAAGTGGCTTTGTTTCCAGAGGGTTCTGTCTCTCCCGGAAAAACCCATGGCCTTCACCACTGGATGCTATGTGGGCAGCTGATCCCAGCTGTGGCTCTCCAACGAAGGAAGCGCAGTCTGGGGTCCAGGCTTCACTCTTCTCAGGTGGAAGCTCCCACAGTCATGTCTTAAGCTCAGCCTGCCACCCCTGGGAATGGGCCAGCCCCTTTTGCACCTCTGCTCTTCCTACTGGTCTCAAGGTGGTTTCCGCTCATCCTTGGTTAAGTCTCCTCTTCAGGTAATTTTCCATTGCTCACTTCAGGTAGCTGTTCCCCTCTTTTTTTTTTTTTTTTTACTTCTAGTTTGGTTCTGGGAAGAGCTGTGAGAAAGATCCTCCTACTCTGCCACCATCTTGAAACCCTCCCCCAAACAAAGAACATTTTGATGGTTGCCAGATGGGAGGGGGTTAGGTGAAAAAGGCAAAGAAATTAAAAAGTATAAATTGGTAGTAACGAAACAGCCATTGGGATATAAAGTACAGCTCAGTGCCAATAATCAATAATATTCTAATAACTTTGTATGGTGTCATATGAGTATAAGATTTATTGGAATGATTACCTAGTAAGTTATATAAGGTCTGATAACTGAGGTTTACGCCTGAAACTAATATAATATTGTATGTCAACTATACTTGAAAAATAAAAATGGTTTCAAAATAATAATGGAAGAAAAAGAAAATTGAAAGAAAAACTATATATTATTTATACCAAGTCAATATGTATAGAGACTCCCTCTTAAAGCATATGTTTACCTTTCCATTAAAACTCTTTATTTTACATATTTATTCTGAAAATGTTCACACATGTTCAGGTATTTAAAGAACAGTATCATTAATCACTATGTGCCATTCGTCTAGATACAAAAAGTGTCAGTCTATGACCAATCACCATTTTTCACACATCCACAGTCTCACAGTCTTACCATTCCACAAGGGCAAATGCATGCAGTATTCTGAGTCACGTCTTGAGCCAAACACTAAATCATTTTTCTTCCCCTTCCACCTTGGCCTGTTCAAAACCCCTACCCTATTTCTACTCTTCTTTTTTATTTTTTCTTTTAGTGTCCTACTCTGATGGTGTGACTTTGCCAGAGAACAGATTTTAAGTCTGTGCTGAATACCCAGTTCAAAGAGACAACACAGACCAGTGACACTTCCTCCCATCATATTTTGTTCTCAACAATGGCTGTGTATGTTGTCTCCATAATGGCAATGGGTGAGGACCTGGTACATGTAAGGAACACTGTCCTGCCACTCTGGCTGGGGGTGCTTCTGTTCCTGTATGAATGGTCCCAGGTTGGGCATTCCCAATGCCATGGTCCCCTGGAGGTGGTGATTCCACTGAAGGTAATAGTCACCAGTGTGGGCATGAAGCCTGAAGGCTGGCTCTCATACAGTATGCATTTTGGGGGCCAGAAACATATTATCCACATGAAGGTCAATAAGCATTTGCTATCCAGACAGCTTCAAGTGTTCACCTACAAAGACCAAGGTGCCCTCCTTATGGAACAGCCTTTCATCCAGAATGACTGCTACTATCATGGCTATGTGGTGGGGGACCCAGAATCCATGGTGACCCTCAGTACCTGTTTGGGGGGTTTCCAAGGAATATTACAGACAAATGACATTGTGTATGAAATAGAGCCCAAAAGGCATTCTATCATGTTTGAACATCTCATATATAAGGTGGACAGGAAGGAGACACAATTTCCACCCATGAGATGTGGATTGACAGATGAAGAAATAGCTCAACAATTGAAGTTTCAAGAGAGTGTTAATTTCACTTTGATGCAGAGTGGGTATGAAGGCTGATGGACTCACAAGCGGTTTCTTGAGCTGGCAGTGGTGGTGGACCACAATCGATATCTTCATCTCGAAAGTAACACCACAAAAGTGCAGAATGAAGTATTCCTTGTTGTCAGTGGAATTGATAACTTCTTGAGCCCACTGGATGTTGATGTGGTTTTAGTAGGAATTGAAGTCTGGACTACAAGAAACCTCCTTCCAGTAAATAACATAAGTGATCTCCTGGAGGAATTTTGCAAGTGGAAGAAAAACAGCGAGTGGGACCCTCCCACCTGCCAGCAAAAGGACCATGGGGGTAGTATCGACAGTGCCCCCCTGGGAAAAAAAGTGACAAACTGGGGGGGGGGGGGAAATGATGTACCTGCCACGACTTGGGCTAATTAACTTTGTTCCTGTATCATGCTTGTTAATTTGGGGTTTTATTAGATTCAAAAGAATACATTACAATGAAGAGCCAATGTTCCATCTTCAAGTGAAACAGAGCAAAATGTTCTACCTGCACCTGACTAAGAAGAGCAAAATGTCAAGCCTTTACCTAAGGAAGAAAGCAAGATGTTCAATTTCACCAAAGGATGAACAGCAAAATGTTCTGACTGCATCATAGAAAGAAAAGCAACAATTTATAGTTTCAAAAAAGAAACCAAATCTTATCAAATTTCCCATGTATTAAGTTTTAGTCTCCTTGCTTCAGAAATGTTACAGAATTGTGCCGCAGGCCACTGACATAATCCCCGAAATAGTTTATTATTTGGGATCATAAAACATTCACCATTAAACAATTAGCTAAATATGCTAATTCCTAGGGTATTTCTACTTTGTATTATTTTAAATCATTTTAGTGTTCAGTTGTTCATGGAATTAGTCTCTTTGTGTTTGTGAGCAAAGGTACAGTTACTGGGTAATGTGTATTTGTGTGATTTTAATTTGCTCAGATACAGCTCTTTCTATGACACGGATTTCCCCAAACAGCACATCAGTGACACTGCATAAGAGTCATAGACAGTATAACTTTTCATCACATTGACATGCCCACTCTACAGGTTGATGTAGGAGAAAGGCAATAGACTGTGGTTCTCTAGGTTGCCCTTCCTGGCATGAAACAGTCACTCTACAAACAAGATGGACCAAGCAAAACTGGGGTCTCAGTATTCTAGACCTGGTGTGCCTTGGGCAGAACTCTCACTCTCTGAATGACAGCTGTTCCCATGTAATATAGAACTCCCAGAACAGGTTCTAGGGAAGCAGTGGGTAAGTGTGAGGTCTGTACTCGTTGGATGAATGACAGGGATATATTAGTAATTTAGAGCTCAGTGAACCCCCTCTGTCTTGACCACATCAGTACAGAAAACAGAATTCAACACTGACCTAGGGAATGGGATTATGTCATGAACCAAATGCCACAGTTTCTTTCTGCTTTTACCAATTTCAAAGGGCATAATTTGGACAACTGTTTCTCCAGTTTTATTTATCAATATTTAACGGTATACCTTAGAACAATTTCCAGAGACATTAATTTTTTAAAATATCAGTAAATTGGTTGTTCTTAAGGAGAGGGTCTACTAGCTCCACACACAAATCAGTCTAGAACTCCCACTCATCTGACTGAAGAAGAAAATACTACTAACATTCAGTCATAAAGTTATGGAAATTAAGTTAGTTGAGAATGACTAGTCATATTCAATAGAGAGGTCGAATGGACTTCTCAGTAGCTTCTAATGGTCAGTTAGCATCCATGTGAAAATGATGTATCTTTATCTTACACTGCACACTAAGACAGCGACCAAACCAAAAGCCTAAGTAAAGGGACCTTTGAAATTCCCCTGGCTTCTCAGGCAGTACCCAGGAGGTACTTGCCAGGAGGCCTCAGCAGGAGGGGCGAGGCATCTGCAGCCAGGAACAGGACCTGGCTGGGAATAGTCTGTAAGGCACACGCTCAGTTACCCAGGCAATGTGGCCTCACTCAATCAGAAACTCAAGCTGTCTTTGCTACAGTCCCTGGCCTTCCGAAGGCATGGACTGGCTGCACACCATGCCCTCAGAGCTCTAAACTCAGACCTCCTTCCTGATGGGTGATGGACGCGGCTCGGTGCCCAAGCTGCTCTCCCAGGTTCCATTGCCACGCCCAGCCCCATCTACCCTAGCTGCCCTTCCTGTCTTCTGCCCTCAGCTAGTACCCAACAATCTGGACAGGCTGTCTATTAGTATGATAACCACTACATGGGTATTTAAGCATTAGAAAAACCTTAATGTTGTTTTTGCAAGTTCAGCACAATCTGAGTTTTCTGAATCACTTGAACCCAGTGCCTCCAACAAAGTGTTTGAATCTCATTGCATTTTGTGTCTATACTCAGGCTCTTGGTGGTCTCATTCTCTTTTCAGCTTCATTTACTATCCTATAGATTAATAACTTGCACCTTGTTCCAGGACTCTTCCCCTGAACTCCAGTTTCCTGTGTGCATCTGTAATAGACATCACTACTTGTGCAGCCAACAGATATCTGATATGTATGTATCCTAACTCAGCTCTTTTTCTGAACACCAGCACCCAAGCCTCAACACTAAAGCACACACACACACACACACACACACACACACACACACACACAACATCTTCCCCCTTCCCATCTTTTTAATTAATGGTGTCCTTTCCAGATTATTTCAGTTGTCTCCTTATTCTCTTCCTCTCTCTATTTTCATAATAACAGCCATAAAGCCCCTGTTAAAATTCAGATCGACTTTATTACAACTCATTATTGAGGATGTCATCTTACTGAGAATAAGCACATAGTAGTCAACCTTTTACAAGTGTATGATCAGGACCTGCAGTCTGGCTCCATAATTCGTCACAGACCTGGATCTCATGTCTTTGCTCCATGTGTGGCTGTACAAAAACACCCAACTTTCTCCTATTTGGAGCCCTTGGACCTTGATATTTTTGCTTCAGAGATCAGCCTTCTCTACCCACACTATTTACAATGTAATGCCCTTAACTCTCCTTCCAACACTTTTCTGCTTAACTTTCTTAGTAGCATGATCCCCATCCAACCTATTTATTATATGTTCCTATCTCAATTTTGCTTAAGTTTCTGTTTTCCTCAGTAAACTGTTAATCTAACTTGTTGGCATAAACTTGTTTATAGTTGTCAATTATGATCTTATGTAGTTCTATAGTATCAGTTATAATATCTCTTTTATTCAAATTTTGAGTTTCTTCTCTTTTCTTCTTAGTCTAGCAGCTAATGGCTTGTCAATTCTATCTTTGGGAAAAACCAGCTTAGTTTTGTTATCTTTTCTGTTGTGTTTTTTATCTCTTTCATTTATTTCTGCTCTGATTTTTATTATATCTTTCTTTCTGCGACCTTTGGCTTAATTTCTTCTTTTCCTAATACCTTGAGGTGTAAATTTAGGTTTTTTGAGATCTCCCTCTTAACATGTTCATCTATCGCAAAGGACTTCCCTCTTGGAGTTGCTCATAACATCCCACAGATCTGGATAGGTTGTGTTTCCATTTTCATTTCTTGAGATTTAAAAAAAATTATTTTACGATCTTTTCATTGGTCCATTGTTTTCTCTGAAGTGTGTTGTTTAGTTTCCATCTGTATGTAGATTTGCTAGCTTTCCCCTTGTTGTTTCTAGTTTTACACCAGTGTGGTCAGAGAAGGTAGTTAATGGGATTTCAATCCTCCTGTATTTGCTAAGACTTGCTTTGTGCCCTATCATATGATATTTCTTGAAGAATGTTTCTTTGCACTTGAGAAAAACATGTATTCAACTGCTACATACAACTGAATATGTATTAATGACTGCTGTATGTTTGTCTATTAGGAACTTTTGCTCTAAAGTAGGGTTCAATTCCAACATTTCCTTGATGAATTTCTGCTTGGGTGATCTATCAATTTCTGAACGGTGAATACTGAATTATTTTATTTTTACTATATTATTCTCTCTTTCTCCCTCTAGTTCTGTTAGTATTTGCTTAATATGTTTAAGTGTCCCTATGCTTTGTGCACATAAATTTGATTGTTATGTACTTCTAATGTAGTGAGCCCTCTATCATTATATTATGACCTTCTTGGACCCCAGTTACAATTTTTGGCTGAAGTCTGTTTTGTCCTCTATAAGTATGGCTATCCCTACTTTTTTTTTGGTGGCGGGGAAGGGGGTCCAGTTGTATGAACAATCTTCTTCCATCCTTCTACTTTCAAACTATGTGTACTTTTAAAGCCAAAATAACTCTGTTATAGACAGCATAAAGTTGGATTTAGTTTTTATTTTTATTCAGCCAGTGTGCTTTTTGATTGGTGATGTTAATCCATTTAAATACAGACTGCTGATTTATATGGTAAGTGTTTAGCGTTGCCATCTTATTGGTTGCTTCTGTTTGATTTGTGTTGCCATTGTTTCTTTTACACTTGGCTTCTAGCTACCTTTTAAATCTATTGTTTCCTCAGTACTGTCCTCTGTTTCTCCCATTTTTTTTTTTAAGTTTCACGAATCTACTCTGGATTTTGCCTTCTGGTTACCATGAAGATGACAGAAAATATATCATAGATAAAATTGTTCATTTTCTGCTGATAGAGACTTATCTTTGATAACAAGGTAGCATTCTTTCCTCTCTTTTTATATCTCTGATATTACAATTACCTCTTTTTATGTTGTATATTTGTTTACAAATTATACTAACTATAGATATTTAGATGCTTTCTTTAACCTTTATTGTTAAGCAATGAATACGCTTTCCTATTACACAATTGGAGTTTTCTAAATCTGACTACATGTATTTTCACCATTGTCAAGGTGTTGCATATTTTTGTATTTTATGTTGATACTTCAAGTGTTTTCATTTCAGCTTAAAGATCTCTTTAAGCAAACCTTGCCAGTCATGTCTAGTGATAAATTTCTCCAATTTTTGTGCATCTAGAAAAGTCTTTATGTGCCCCTCAAATCTGAAGAATTCATTTAACTGATTGAGTTTATCAACTGGCAATTTTTATATTTTAGCACTTTCGATATGTTATTCCATTATAAATCCAATGACAAAATAATGAGGGTTCCTTTCTAAGTTACCCTTTTTTTTTCCTGGATGTCTTTACAATTTTTTATCTTTGATTTTGATAGTATTTCATTAAAATGTGTTTTGGAGAAGTGTGTATGTGTATTTATCATAGGGTGATAAATTGTCTACTTGCACTTGGATGTCCAATCACCCCCAGATATTGAAAGTTTCAGCTATTAGTCCTTGAACTAAATTTTCTACCTCATCCACCCTCTCTTCCAGAACCACAATTATTTTGCTGTTCCTCCTTTTGATTAAGTGTCATAAATATGTAGGCTTTTTTTTTGCTTACTTTAATTAACTTCTCTTTCATTTTAACTGTTGTTAAT